GAGTGTGGCCACAAACAGTCGCGAGACTTGTGGGTTTTTACCATGATTGGTCGCTTGACGGGCTGAAAAAGTATGACAATTACTTTTTACTCGACTGATGGTGTCTTGGGAGAATAAAATCCTATGAATGAACGTACTAAAATTTTCCATTATCTGATAATTCAATTCACGATTATCCTATTTATGTGGCCAAGCAGCTATTATTTTAGAAGAAATCATTTCCACGACTCATTCGAAATAAAACTGAATGAGGGCGGTATTCATGACAAACAAAGAGATTTGAATTTTAAACTTTGGCGGTGTTCTTAGAGCAGTTATGATAAAACTCATTTATTGAGTATTGTGCACCGTAGAAGGCTTTATTTTGTGACGTAGCAAAATTATTACCTCCATGTAATTTGAATATCCCGATAGTCTAGTATAATGTTGCTACCAAACACACATTACGGACCGGAAGCGTGAATTCGTCTTGCGAATGAATAAAATATAAATCTATATTAACATTACAGGGCCGCGGCGACATCACGTGTCGATTTCGCTTCCATCTCATTGGAACAGAGCACATGTCATTTGAGTGTGTACATAATCCTTGTCGGTTCATCAGCGTAACGGAAACTGGGGCAGTGAAGCCAATAACAAGATCTACAGCCAAAAAATCAACAAATGGACACTTTGCAATTAAAATAACCGTAAGCACTGACTATGTATCTTTAACTGCCCCGGCCCACTCCCTGCTGAGCGGAAATTGTAATCAATAGCCAACGTCAACGTAAATTATTATTTCCCGCTCAAAAAAATCTGCTTTAAACTCATTATCTAGGTTAGCTAAAAGCACAATTAGAGCAATACGAAATGTGAATAGGCGATATAGCCCTTATACGTTGACGAAGAGGGTTATCAAGCACAACTTTATTACAAATATTACTAGTATTTTTATAGGAACTGCACGATTCTTGTTGTTTAATCTTCATTATTGTTTTATTTCTTTAGGGACAAAATGATTCGCTCTACGCCCATTGACACCTCATCAGCCATACTGGATATGAAAGGATTTACGCGATGATAAAAAAAAATGACAGCCAAGTGAGAACGAAAGCTGCTAAGCAAGTCGACGTTGGGGGCGTTGTTTACTGTGCATATCAATTCGGCAAATCCACCGTGAATACAAGCATCATTGTTTAATGAAAAGAAGACTTTTTTCCCTTCAATGAAATGCAATCGATCACTGAACAGAATATATTATTGGGAAATGAGATATTTACATGTAAATCACACATCTACATCTATTTACTTAGAGAACGTTCGTCGGCGCACGCGTGTGGAGCTTACTCCATGGTTACTTCCAGAACTTAAGCCGTAATGTTTATGAACGTTCGCAAAGAATGTTCTGAAGTGTGAAGAGTAATATTTTTATGAGTAATATTTTATTTTAACAATAGCGATAACGTGTTCTATTTACATACTATGATGCTAGTAAGTTAAACAGAATTCATGTCCACGGGAATAAATCGTGTTTTGTATACACTATGACGTAAAAGAATTATTGATTACGTCATATTCCAAGGTGATCAAGTGAAGACAATTATATATGTATAAGTCCGATCAAGTTATGTGTTATGATGCAGACCAGTCTGTCAGCATACGGTAGAACAACTTAGCTTGACTGTTCGTGGTAATAAACTAAGGGGTTCCCACAGTAGGTTTTTATTTTTCGTTGGAGACATGATTCACTTTCCACATCTATCCTATACCAGAGCGCTATAACTATCGTAAATGTGTTTATATTGTACGCCCTGTTTCTG